GGAAGAGTAGGAGGAACCGCGCGCTCCTACAAGCACCAGTCGGCTCAGGAGGGATACAGAGGAAGGGAACCCATTGAATCACGCCATGCGTATTTTAGTTCTGCAATTTATTGAGATATTCCAACAACAAAAGTATCCAATGTCCTGCCTTCTTTTCGTCAGAAGAACTGAAGAATAACGCTGAGCTCGGTTTTCGCCCTTTTTATATAGGCGCCAGTCGGTAGCACCCGCGAGTCGGGAGGAAGGGAGGGCGCAATTTTCCCAGAATTGGGCATACGTGACAAAAATGAAAAATAGGCTTTCCTCCTCGAAATATTATTCGTACCGGGTTAAAACTCGGTTTACGCGAACTTAATTTAAAATTAAGAGATCCAGTTATTTCTGCATTAATTAACAGAATTTTTAAGTTATTAATAAATTAATTTTAGGGGCCTTCTCCGCGGTCCGCGCTGCTCTCTCCGTGGTCCGCGCTGCTCTCTGCCGACTCCGTTGGTCGGCGCTCGCTAACCCGACTAATTAACATAACTCATCCATTTAGTAGGATTGATTAAGGCGGTCACGATGACCAAAAGACTACAAATCAATTAGAGAATCTATTAGCGCAATAAGAGACTTCAAAATTAATCATATTCTTGATCAGAGCGGCCGAAGTCCCATCGCGAGTTCGGAAGGACGAGTGACACGCGCATCGCGGGCCGTGATTGGTGCGCGATAACTTATTCCTATTTTGGAGAATTATAGGCGTTGAGGCGTTTAGAGTAAGCTAATTTTTTCTAAATCCGCGTAGGATGGCAATCACATGACTGTCATAGCGTACGAAAATGTTTTCTTTACTCCACGCGGAGTTATTCTGGCTGGCATTTCGTCGTAACGCATCAGCACACGGCACGCTCCTTACGGGCGCTCTGATTGGCTCACGCAGTACGCGTGTTGGCGCCATGGAATCGCACGTCGCCGAGTAAGATTTTCGATACGAATTTCACAATTTTAATAAGAGAATATTTTAGATAGACGATGTAAGAACAAAAATAATTCAGAGCAAAATGAAAAGATTAAATAACAAAAATATCCGCAAAAAAAACAGAATTATATTCTCGCGGAGGGTAAGACGTAACACTCCCTTTCAAATGTTATTTATTTTCAGGTTCAATAATCAAGTTAATCTTGTATACATGGAAAATTGGTGCACATTTCTATTAATAATGTAGATTAATTTTAATTGTGGTTTAACGTACTTTTTATCTTTTCTTAATTCAGAGAATTAAAAAAGTTAGAGTACACTAAACCAAAAATTAAAATAAATCTATATTAGTAAAGAGAGATTAGTCTTGTATTTATTTCTGTACAGAGTTTCCCAGTAAATAAGCTGATGTTACTCGTTATTTTAATATCATTTTAATGATACTTTGACGTTCAGGACGTCAAGATCACCGTCATGGTATGGGACGTTTTACAGTCATACAGTTGTCATTTTGATTACTCTTTTTGTGACATCATATTCTTAATAAATTTAACGTCACACTGATATCACCTTGACTAACAATAAGTAGTTTTCACTGGGCAATATATGTATATTTATACAGGGTGCCTTGGGATTTAGCGAGCAACTTCTCTTTGCGGGAGTATTATATCTAACAAATATATAGGAATAAAAAAAAAGAATTATATGAAGTATTTATCTAACAACTGACTCACTCATGTTTCGTTCAAGCTGCGATCAACATGCGTTTTTTAATTTAATACTTTTTAGGGAATATTAATTGTAATTAGTTGATCCAATGTTGAGACGAATTCCTTCTATGTCTTGGGATTATAATATCAAATCTGCTAATCTGATGGTGATTTTTTTTTTGACACGAAGGGATTGATATTTTAAATTTGTTTTGCTGAAGATGGTTCCAAAGTGAACTGAAACCTACTATTTTTGGAATAAAGATTCTATTTTTGGATTGAAGAATTAAGATTGCGTATTAATTACTACGCTGACTCTCATTTGCCCTGTTTTATTTTTGTTGTTGAATTTGGGAGAGTCCGTAAGAAGATTACATTATTACTGATTAAAAATTAGTATTAATATTTGGTACTGTTGCAATATTATGAATTAGTAACGATTTTTGTTAGAGTATTATTTCTGTTACGGTACTAAAAATATCGATATTAGATACAATATATGTACTAATTCTAGGTACTGTTACAATATTGTAATCCCGTACTGTAATAGTATTCTATAATACTGTACTATAATAGTACTTTATTCCAAACCTTGGCCCATTGCTATCATCCCAGTGTTTTACCAGTACTATACCAGTACTCGTATTCAGTATCGCGTCGATACTAAATACTGAAAAATGGTATTGGACCAGTATCTCACCGGTATTCCATTCCCACTTGGGATATAACATTTTTTTCATTTTTCCATTGCACATACCATGGTATATAATATGCTTCCGCAAATAATTATCTGTTAAATAATATTAATCTGATTGTACTTTTATTTGAGTTTTTCAATCTCAGACCTTTGCACTTAATTTTATTCTTATTGACATTTTTTAATTATTATTAATTCACTTAAAATTTGACTCACATACATTTACTTGCGTTGACTCACATTATGTATTAATCTCAGTTATGTTTTTTAAGTTTTTGTATGTATCCGTTTAATTTATTTATAGCTTTGACAGTACGTTTATTTATGCCGACTTCTTTCCTTTATCGATTTCACTTTAATATTCGATTTATCGGTGTTGTTTTGTTGACGTATTTACGAAATATATCTCGTCTGCTTGACTTTGTTCTGAAATTTCTCATTACTAACTGTGACTTCTGACGGTTAAGTTCGCGTCAAATCTATCGTCATGTAAGCTCTCTTCGTTTACACATAATTTATCATTAATTCGTTCTTAAATTTTTATATTTCATTATTTGTGTAGTGATTGTTCAATTAATGACGGGATGCATCTCTGAAATGTACGTCAGCCCATTTCCTTATTCATGACATGTAAGTATCGCAATTTTTTACTCATTCGAGGACATGCAATTAAAAAACTTCATTTAATGTTTCTAAAATACAAACAAACAGCCAGCGTGCGCAAAAAATGAGCATGCGATAGACAGTGTTTGCCGACATCTAGATGAAACCATCTTAGATGGTCATCTAGATGGAAAATTGGAACATCTCATCTTACATCTAGATTGTGCAAATATAAACCATCTTCATCTTCATCTTAGATAGAAGAATATACCATCTCATCTAAAAAAAATTTTAGATGACTTTAATTCGACATAAATAGGTTTGTTTCTTACAATTTTCGGGTGACATTTTTCTTTTTTTTACAATTTTCAGCGAGTACTGAAAATGTATAGTATACGTAACGTGATTAACGTGAACTATGGATAATTTGCACGCTAAAAATGCTGTAGGAGAAAGAAATCATCTTCAAGCAGCAGCGGAGATGAGGATTTTTTCCGCGATTTTATGAAAAAAAAAGATCTTATTAGTACGCAACCAATTATCAGCAGCAGCATAGAAGCGCTTTCCTATTTAGAATCAAAATTAATCAAAGGATTTACGTTCCCTCGTAAATTTCCCTAATGAAAAAAAATATTTTTTAAATATGATACTTCTTTATCATCATCTGCGCCAGTAGAGCGGCTGTTTAGTATAGGACAACAAATATATGTACCTAGTTTGTCGGATGGGAATTTTGAGAAACTTTTGTTTTTGAAAAATAAAGACTTATAAATAAAAATGTGAACGTTTATATATCCTTTTTCCGATCAGCGCAACATTTTATGTTCATAATTATTTTAAAACAAAACCATCTAAAAAAACAATCAAGATGGATCGCTTAATCATCTCATCTTTCATCTAGATTTTTGCAAATCAAAACCATCTTCATCTCATCTAAGATGGATTTACGGATTTCCATCTCATCTCCATCTAGATGATTTTAAAACCATCTAAGCGCAACATTGGCGATAGATTATACCTAGAACTCGTCTTCAGTTAGTTCGAATCAAGCATCGCAGAAATAGGCACTCGATGTTCATGCCGGTTGTTGTTTTTATTATAGTACAATAACATTTATACTTTAGTAACGATTTTCACTAGGAGCATGGGTTATTTTATATTAGAAATACCCTTGGGTATCTCATATTATGATTTCCACGCCTACGGTTTTACGATCATCAAATCAACTTCTGTAAATTAAGTAATTCAACATATCTCGTATTTTTCTATTAGTACGACCTTACATTATCACTACATGAAATATTTATTAATAAATATTTATTTATTAAATAATAAACAAGGTTTAAAGGCTCATTTCAATGAAACTTGGAGACATCCAAATTCTAAAGTCTTTTTTTACAATGACTACAGGCGTGATTTGATAATGAAGCTTTATATATGAAGCTTTCTACTAGATAGTTTTCAATCCAAGAGCAATAAATTTATGGTGGAACCAATATAGATAGCGTTTATTAGTTTAGCAGAAACGCCGCTATCTCATATTAGGCGTCTATCTCATAATAGGGGGCATTCCTCTAATTTTGTCATTTTGTGCTTTCAAATTTTAATATTATGATAAGAAAATAATAATAATTATAAAGTAAATAATCTATAAAAATTTATTTAATAAAAATAAAATGTTTAGAACACAACTTTCATATGTATATACATGTAGTTTATGTAATAGAAATATTAACACATTTGTAAAAATGGGTGTAATATATTCTTAATGTTAATATTTGTAAGTGAAATAAACATCACGCGCATGTAAGATTGCAGAGATGAATATTTCTGACTCAGTTTGTGTATGTAGCACGATCATATGAACTAAATATCGATTTATTATCTCAAACCTTGAAAAATAGACGTATGTACCCTCAGAAAAGTGGATCTTGCATGTAGTTTACATCGGCTTTTTCAGAGGGCAGTAGTGCACAGCAGCATTTTACGGTTAGAGGTTTTAGACCGTCATGTCCTCTCTCAGGTTTCTCTTTTATACAGCTGTAAAGAATCTATTATAAAACTTGTGATTTATGACTTGTGAGTCTCGTGATTGGAATGATTTAGAACAGAGTCATGTTTTGTTATACTAAAATGACTGTCTTGAACTTCTATAAAGTTCAAATGCTAATCGGATACTTTTACTTGTACGTAAACGCTGTGAAGGATAATAATAACTGTCAGTGCAACAAATTGAATCGACAATTACTTTTTAGTCCCCGAGAAAGATATTGCATTGTGAATAATATTAAATTCAATACAAATAGCGTAATAGGGGAGAAAATAAAGAAAATGGTTAAAATTAACGCCGGTACATATTTCATAGGAACGGACAATCCAGTTTTTGTAGGCGATGGAGAAGGACCAAAACGCGGAGTAGTATTAGATAATTTTTATATAGACAAATTTGAAGTGAGTAATAAGGAATTTATGACGTTTGTAAATGCTACTGGTTATATTACCGAAGCAGAAAACTTTGGGGATTCTTTTGTCTTTGAGGGCCTCTTAACACAAACTACAAAAGGCAAAGTCAATAAAGTAGTTTCTCAAGCTCCTTGGTGGTTACTTGTGAAGCAAACCTCATGGCAACATCCAGAAGGTCCCAACTCGAATATTACTTGTACGTATAAAATAAAAATAGTGGCAATTATTTAGAATACCCCTCCCCCTAAAATCTTAATAAAAATATTTATTCAACGCGTATTCACTTAAAACGAAAGAATCTGGCAGAAAAACGCGGTGGTCTGTCTTGTGAGTCAAGTTATTAAGCGTTAGCCCGGACCTAAAATAGGTTCTTAAGCCATAAGAAATGGACGAATCATCAATCAATTATTCTCCTCGCATTCAATTGCAATTGGTCAATTTCTTATGGCTTAAGGCTTGAAATACCTATTATAGATTCAGACTTTAAGTTCGACACTTTAGAGGTTAAGATATCTGTCATCCCGACTTGATGCAGCGCTATGTATATGTTCTGCTTTAATTACACAAATTCTCTGCTTTACAAACACAAATTCATTGCTTTAAGGAATACAAATATTCACCGCATTAAAAATAAAATTTCTACTACTTTAAAAATACAAATTCATTGCTAATTAGCGGTCAATTTTTGTTTTTAAAACAGTGAATTTGTGTTTGTAAAGGAGAATTTGTGTAATTTAAGCAGAACGTATACATAGCGCAGGACTGCGTTCAGAATCGTCGTCCGGATGTTAAACCCAGATGTTATTCTATCTTTATCATTCATGAATGTTAAATGAGAATAATACAACAATCTGAGTGCACCCGGATGATAATTTTAAACGCAGTCTTATATCTAGTAGGGATGACAGATATCTTAACCTCTGAAATCTCAAACTTTAACGTTTAATTCAGTTTAATTAACTCGATTCACAAAGCCAATTGCTGCGTTTTTCTGTCAGATTCTTTCTTTTTAAATGAATACGCATCAAATGAGTACATTTTCATTAATGATGAATTCGATTACTCGCACTACGCTAGATCAGTGCATATTAAAATATCTGCTTTATATAAAATATCTCAATGCAATAATGTAATCTGGAGACACCATGTATAAAAATATACTACTATAAATATATACTAGTGTCATTGCTACTGCAGTAGTATCACTACTGATATTCAACAGTGTTACAACTGACATCAATAGTATCACTACCCTGGTGAAAATTTTTCTCATAATTTTTATACGAATTAGAACATTTTTCAGAAATACTCAGAAATATTTGGAAAGTTTACATCTTCTCTCAGAATTTTTCATACAAGTGAATTCTAAAATATTCTGAAATTTCTCATCCTATAATTAAAAAAAAATATTTTTTAATTTAAATAATATAAAAAGGGGCTATAAACCACTTAGGACATTACGTAAGTATAACTTTTTCCTAAACAATAAAAATTTATATACAGACCTCTATCAGGTCATTCTCAATGTTGAATTATAATTTCAAATTATTACCGGTAACGGTGCAAGATGCTCGAAAATTAATCATATAATGAACGCATGTAATAATCGCATGTTGTGGAATTATGTCAGGAAAAGGTCTTGATACCAAGCATTTACATATGAAACTTGATATAAGTCGCATAATAGTAGCGTATAGTCTTATCATCCTTGTGAACTTTTTCTCAAAAATGCAATCGGTTAATACAACGAATTCAATGTGAAATTAATGTACAAACGCTTCATATTCCTAGTACAACTGCAGTTAAATAATGTTTGATCATCCAAAATAAAATAAAATAATTGAGTACAAAGTGCAAATATAGAAATCAGGTATAGCACAAAGAGTCTTGAAGTCATTACTTCTTAGATTTCTACAGTTTCAAGACTCTTTGTGCTATACCTGATTTCTATATTTGCACTTCCCTAGTAGCACACTTTATTCGAGGAACGTTCTAGCGAACGTTATTAGAACATAGGTATATTCTCTGAATGTTCTTTGGAACGTCCTTTAAAGATCTGTGCTATTAGGGTTTGTACTCAATTATTTTATTTTATTTTAGATGATCAAACATTATTTAACTATAGTTGTACAAGGAATATGAAACGTTTGTACATTAATTTCACATTGAATTCGTTGTATCAACCGATTGCATTTTTGAGAAGAAGTTCACAAGGATGATAAGATTATATGCTACTATTATGCGACTTCTGTATGCGACTTATATCAAGTTTCCTATGTGAATACTGCTTGGTATCAAGGCCTTTTCCTGCCATAATTCCACTAGCCAACATGCTATTATTACATGCATTCATTATATGATTAATTTTCGAGCATCTTGCGCCATTACTGGTAACAATTTAAAATTATAATTAATAAACATTAAGAATGAACCGATAGAGATCGAAATGTCTGTATATAAATTTTGATTTTTTAGAAAAATGTTTTACTCACATAATATCCTGAATAATTTCATAGTCAATTTTCATATTATTTAATTCTTTTAATCATTGAACTGGGGGTGATCCCGATTGGTCACGGCTCGATTGGACACCACCAATCACAGCGACCAGGTGCCTAGGAGCTTTGTAGTCTCAAGCGCTGTGAGTGGCTCGTGTCCAACTGGGTGCCATCCATTGAACCGTTATTCTTTATTGAATTCTTAAATTTTTTAGATTTTATAATATTTTATCAGAAATTATACTTACAAAAAATCTTAGAAATCTTACGATATTTTGTAATTAACGTACATGAAAAATTCTGAGAAAATGTAGATTTTCTGAGAAATGTTCCAATTTGTATAAAAAATGTAAGAAAATTCTGAAAAATTATATAGAGATTCTGATAAATTTTATGAAAAGTTCTGAGAAAAATTTTCACCGGAGTACTGAAATGCAATAGTATCACTGCTCAGCCAGTAGTGTTACTACTGTAGTAATATATGCCGATATAAAACGTAACATAGAACTATTTTTAGTTCTAATATTTAATTGTAATATTTGGTATAAAAAATTTATTAGAGTAAAAAATACATATACACTACTCAACAAAATTAAAGAATCACTTGTTCCACCTTGCAAAAATTGGTAAATTTCGAGATAAAATAACTTCGTTAAAAATCATCGTATCGAGATTTTTAAAAAAGCATTCTAAAGCTTGAAATCTCTACTTTTCAAACCTGTACTTTAAAAAACCGTATTACTCATATTTCATAAAATTACACTAACATAAATGAAGATGCATCAGATCTCAAAATTTTTTACGAAATTTGCGAAATTCCATGAAGCCAAGTAAAAATTGTATACAAATGTGGTTTACATCTTTCCAAAGAGTGAATCTTTACCTTCAATTTCTTTTTCTATGAAGCTTCGTACGATTTTTTTCACCGAGATATTCAACGTCGAAGCAAAAAGGGTCGTTTTTACTCAATATTGAATAAAAAAAGCAAATTAAAGATAATGACTTATAATAAAGTTTTTGCATACAAAAATGATTTGAAGCATTCAGAAGTTAGTTTTAAGCTTTAAAACGCTTATTTCAAACATTGCTTTGTAATCATTTTTCGTAGAAATACATGCTTTGTAATCATTTTTCGCAGAAATACGTAAACCTTGATTTTGACCTTTTTAAAGCTAATTCTAAATGATCCTTTAACTTCAAGATAGAATGACTTCGTAAATAATAATCGTAACGAAATTTTTAAAAAAGCATTTTAAAGGTTGAAATCTTTATTTTTGAAATCGGTAATTGGTATTTCAATCCGACTGATCCTTTATGGAGCTATACGGACACAAATGGATACCCGTCATATGTGAAAATTTTGTACAAATTTTACAAATATCTATGGCGTGAAGTAAAGATCACACAAAAATGCGGTTTACAGTAATCGAAAGCGTAAATCTTTACCTTCAATTGCTTTTTTATAGACCTCGGTACTATTTTTTATCACCGAGTTATTCAACATTGAATAAAAAGGATCGTTTTTGCTTCAACATTGAATAACTCGGTGAAAAAAAATCGTACGAAGCTTCATGAAAAAAGAAATTGAAGGTAAAGATTCACTCTTTCGAAAGATATCAACCGCATTTGTGTACAATTTTTACTTGGCTCCGTGGAACTTCGCAAATTTCGTAAAAAATGTTGAGCATCTTCGTTTATGTTTGCGTAACTTTATGAAATATGAGTAATACGGTTTTTAAAGTACAGGTTTAAAAAGTAGAGATTTCAAGCTTTAGAATGCTTTTTTAAAAATCTCGATACGATGATTTTTGACGAAGTTATTCTATCTCGAAATTTACCTATTTTTGCAGGGTGGAACAAGTGATCCTTTAATTTTGTTGAGTAGTGTATATCATTAGAGCTATTAGTATTATTTCAGTTAGTAGAAATAATATTTTACAGTATTATTAAACACAAGTTATCATAAGTATATCATTATTTCTACATTACAATTATATTTAATATTAATTATTTTTTCTATACGTATTCCGTCTTTTTCACAACATCATTGACCAGATATGTTACAAGTATGCGTCAATTAGCATAATAGGTGTTCATAGTTCTTCGAAGGAGTAGTTCCCATACAATCGCAGAAGCATGCTAGATGGAGATACAGATTCGGGGTGGTCGCATGGGGCATCATAAAATTAGTTCTCTAATTCATAAAGGAAACTTCTTTTTTATTATAATTTTGTCGTGTATTCTCTGAAATATAATGATAATCAATAATACTGATTTTCACAATAAACTCCAGTGAAATTTTAATGAAATTTTCTCCACCACTATTACACTACTAGTGACATTACTTGTCGAATTTACTTATTGCATTAGCGACATTAGTAGTATATTTTTATATGGGACGGTAATCTCGGCGTTAACATATACAAGGGTAAATCAAATATAAATCGGAATTACTTTTTTTTTATTTATTGAAGCACTACAAAGGTACAAAATTATTTCTCTACATAATCTCCGAACTTAGAAACACATTTTTCCCAAAGGATATGTAGGTTTTTTATCCCGCTATCGTAAAATAAAGATGGTTGTGACACCAGTCAATCGCGCACGAATGCTTCGACAGCAACATTATCGAATCTCTGTCCTCCAAGTACATCTTTAGTAGTCTAAACAAATGATAATCGCAGTGCGGTAAGTCCGG